TTTTTAGAGTTTTAGTCAGTTCTGAGGGGTTTTTGGGGTTGAAGGGATCTTTGAAAGGGATTTTAGGGGGGAGGATGAGGGCCGAAGGGCTTGTGGGAGCTTCGGAGGGGTTATGAATTTTCCGGGAATCAGTTTTGAGAGTGACAGGGGAAATAGATTTTTTTAGTTGTAAATTTCGGTTTTAGTTGGTAAAAGAAATTTTTAGGCCTGGTGAAAATTTTGTTGGGCTTTGGGGTTAAGTTGATGATGATATTTAATTTTGGTTTTTTTAAATTTGAAAAAATCTTTTATCACTGCATATCTCTTGACTTTAAAGAAAAAATTATATATTCTAACGTGATCTGCAATCAATCGTAGAGTGAATGTGGGATNCCCTTGTGACCCTTCGTTTCTCACCCTTAATTTTGGAGTCTTGCAATTTTAGTTTACACATAGTGTGTTAAAGTTATTTTGTTATTTTGAGGTTGTATAGATTCATTTTCAGCAAATTAAATAGCTGAGGGTCTTAAGAGACAATTTATATTTTTTTATCCCATGAAATGATGGGAATGGATTTTTGAGACTGATTTCTTACCGTGATTTTCCACGTAGGTGTCAATGATACTGTTGTTGGGACTTGACAACAGAAGAATTGAGAAGAATATCATCAACAATCACAAGCTCCACGCCATCTGCTAGGCTCCCCCCACTTCTCCAGTGAGTCACTCGATAAAAGTGAATTCTGATTGGTTCAGCCCTGTTATCTTCTCTTTCCCATCAACAATTCAATTCTCCCATTGAATAAAAAAATTGAAAATTGTGAAACATTTTTCCTCAATAATTTACGGAAAAAAAAATTCTAAGCAAAATTATATAAAATTCGTCATCGAACAAAAACGTGAAATCGTGATGATAATATATCATATCATTAAATATGATTATAACTCTTTCATGAAATCAACTTAATTATTAGTAGATCCATGAATAAAGAAAATGAACAACAACGAAAAGGACAATACAAAAAATCTAAACAACTTCATAAAGTTATTGTCAAACAAAAACGTGAAATAATGATGAAAATAACAACTATATCATTACAATCATCTCATCATAAACAAGAAACCATGAAATGACCCAAAAGAGCAATTAATAACAATGAAAACACGAATAACAAAAAAATAATCAAATGTCCCGCCAGTCGCTTGATGAGAACGCCCGGCCAATCCCGACGAATCGCCCGCCCCCAATCGTCCAGTGGTCCTCAAGCGGCGTCGACCGACCGACGCCATCTAACGTCCTGGCATTCTCCTGTTTTTTTTTACCCGAAAAAGTGCGGTGCACAGTCGTGCAACATTTTTCATCCATCAAAAGCGCCTATAATCCCCCCAAAAACACAGTAAAAAGCCCCGAAAAACTCTCACAAATCCCTTCAATATCATAAATCAGTGAACAATGCGTGGAAATTGCCTCGCATGTACCTAAAAAAATTGTGAAAACTAGTGAGCGGGAAAAACGTTTTCGGTGGCAATGATGAGTTAACCGTGAGGCCAGGTTCGTAGCCAACAAACATCGAAAGCTTGTGGACGTCGTGCATCAGTTGAATAACATCTGACGATAAATATCCATCGAGTGAGTGGTTTAAGCCTTTCTATGCCATAGGGGAGTCGAAATAACTGCCCTAAAACTGTGAAAATAGGCTCCATGTTTATGTTTACTCGCACCTCATACCCTTCCCCCGCCCTCCGCGGACCCCCTCCCCCCCCTTTGCCTCGGCCCGCTGATGCCTGAGCATTTCATAACAGTTCAACATTCACATACCACCTACAATCTATCGTAGAGTTGATAAAAAATGTGGCGATAGGTGATAATGGAATCGGGTTGGAGGTGTGCGGGGTCTTTTCAGGGGGGCTCTGGGCCAGGGATTTTCGGCGGGAAAAGGGATCGAGGGATCGGTGGGGTCTGGGGTGGATTCGGGGCGATTGGAGATGTTTTTAGAGTTTTAGTCAGTTCTGAGGGGTTTTTGGGGTTGAAGGGATCTTTGAAAGGGATTTTAGGGGGGAGGATGAGGGCCGAAGGGCTTGTGGGAGCTTCGGAGGGGTTATGAATTTTCCGGGAATCAGTTTTGAGAGTGACAGGGGAAATAGATTTTTTTAGTTGTAAATTTCGGTTTTAGTTGGTAAAAGAAATTTTTAGGTCTGGTGAAAATTTTGTTGGGCTTTGGGGTTAAGTTGATGATGATATTTAATTTTTGTTTTTTTAAACTTGAAAAAATCGTTTATCACTGCATATTTCTTGACTTTAAAGAAAACATTATATATTCTAACGTGATCTGCAATCAATCGTAGAGTGAATGTGGGATAGGTGATAATGAAATTGGGTTGGAGGTGTGCGGGGTCTTTTCAGGGGGGCTCTGGGCCAGGGATTTTCGGCGGGAAAAGGGATCGAGGGATCGGTGGGGTCTGGGGTGGATTCGGGGCGATTGGAGATGTTTTTAGAGTTTTAGTCAGTTCTGAGGGGTTTTTGGGGTTGAAGGGATCTTTGAAAGGGATTTTAGGGGGGAGGATGAGGGCCGAAGGGCTTGTGGGGGCTTCGGAGGGGTTATGAATTTTTCGGGAATCAGTTTTGAGAGTGACAGGGGGAATTAGATTTTTTCAGTTGTAAATGTCGGTTTTAGTTGGTAAAAGAAATTTTTAGGCCTGGTGAAAATTTTGTTGGGCTTTGGGGTTAAGTTGATGATGATATTTAATTTTTGTTTTTTTAAATTTGAAAAAATCTTTTATCACTTCATATCTCTTGACTTTAAAGAAAAAATTATATATTCATTGAATGGGTGGATTCAGAGAAATACAGGGGGAAAGAGAATTTTTTAATTGTAAACATGGTTTTTGGTTAGTGAAAGGAGTTTTTGGGTCTGTTGAAAATTTTGTTGGGGTTTGGGGTTAAGTTCGTGTTGATTTTAATTAGAAAAATTATGTTCACACCCAATGATTTTTTTTTGAGATTGAAATAATCTTTAATCAATTATAATTGCAGGGGAAAACTGATTTTTTTAGTTGTAAATGTTGTTTTAGTTAGTAAAAGGGATTTTTGGGCCTGTTAAAAATTTTGGTGGGCTTTAGGGTTAAGTTGATGATGATATTCAATTAGAAAAACCATATTGGCACCCAAAAATTGTGTTTTTTAAGCTTGAAAAAATCTGTTCACTTTTAAGATGATCTAATACCCTTCAAAATGAGCCCTGACTCATCAAAATCGTCTCCTTCCCCAGGAGCTATCAACAATTAAAGCCTACCCTTTGAATTTCCTTCGGAAAAAAATCCTTTCGCCTCCAAAACCTACTTTTCCCTCAAAAAAATATCCCCCTTTACACCTTCACATCGTCACTATTTATTCATACCCCCCTCTCCCGCCCCCCCCC